TCTCTCTCTCTCTCTCTCTCTCTCTCTCTCTCTCTCTCTCTCATATATATATCAAATATCATAAATATATACATTTCTTTCTGTATTGATATATATGTACTTTTTGTTGCAGCTGGACTTCAGAACTCCACCTGGTTTTGATCGTACCCGTAATGCAGTGATTGGCAACAAGGATTTCAAATTAACATACTTGGAAGAAGCTTACACAACTGAGCACTGGCTTGTTCGTATTTATAGGTAGGTGTTCGAATAAGTAGCATGTGTAATTTTTGGTTGTTACACATTGCTAAAGGTTTGACAGTATTTTTGCAAATTTTATATATTTTTCAATCCTTAAAGTAAAGGAACCTTATTATATTTTGTTCAATCAACAGAGTAAAGAAACCTGATGAGTTCAACAGGCCCCGTATTCCCTTGGCACAGAGAAAGGTGAAAAGAAGGAGTGTCTACCTCACCAAAAAGGTACTACCTGTAATTTATGTATCTCTGTTTGGGTGTATGTGTGTGAGTGAAAGACCGACTTCTCCATACATCTGGTTTGATTCTAGGTCAAAATTCCCTCCCCCAAGATGAGAAAATCTCGCATATTTAAAATTTGGAGATCTATGATATTCGTGGTTGAAATTGTTCCTTGATTATATAAATGCTTTGCTACAAGACAGTTTGAAGTATACTGGTAAAGGCCTGTAAAATGTGCCTCATTATCAAGGAAAATAGTCAATTAACATGTGTTCCCCAGTTGCCTAATAGGTGGTTCTCTCATTCCATTTATTTTCACTCATCAGGAGCAGTTTAGTGATCATGATGTGAGTAAAGGGTTTATGTTCCTCTTTTGCATTCATTCTGTTTTAGAGACCATATATATAGTGTCTGTATATGTGTATGCATACAAATATATGTACAAGAGAGCTGATGCTGACATACATAATTACTTACTTACAGAAAAAGACTTGTTTGTTTTTTTGACAGTACATCTTTCTAATTTAGTAATAATTTAAAATTATAAGAATCATTGTTTATTTTTTTTAACAAATTCATTTTCTTATTAGATTAGGAGAGGGTTGACAAGGACATCTAAAAGAAAAGTGAAATTCCTTGTGCATACCACTTGATTGCTTTGGCAAGGGACTTGTAATATGTACTCTATTGGCCAGAAGTATCTTAGGAATGTCTTGTACAGTTGGCTGAATGAATTCTCGGCCTCCTGAGATGGATGTTTATGTGGTAACACTTATGCATTCAAATATAACAATATAGACCCTGTTGTTCTCTAAATAATATCAAAAGAAGATCCAAGCAAACCATGTTACTCATATTCAAAACTTAAAATGAATTGCATAACAAAGACATTCCATGTTTGAATGCCCTTGAATATACTCCTGAAAGCTTAGACTCGCTATAGGATGGATGTTCTGAATTAATGGTGATAAAAATGGAAATACATAAAGAAAATTTGAATATTTTCATAAATTTTAGAAAAATAAAAGCTTTTAGGTGCTATATGTCGCTCGCAAACTACCGATCGAGCCAGGCGCAAACAGGGGAAACTGCCAGTGTGCGCCAACAAGCCGGCGCATACGTAAACTTGACAAAATTTTTACCCGTCGCTGATGGGTTAAACAGATCCTTCATGGCTGAACATGGAAGAACAAATAAAAACACACACACACACANCCCCGCGACATGCAATCAACAACAATAACAAAAAATACCCGCGACATGCAATGAGTCGAGGGGTAACGGATGAAAATCTAATTCCCTTTATTTTTTTCCCTTTCCAAGGAATCGGAAACTACGAAGGAAACATCAAAGCATCTGAATTCACTTGGGAATGCGTTCGTATCCCCCTCTGTTGCTACGGGGAGGAAATAGAGGTTCCTAATGGCGGGCTAACGGCCCCGGACAATTCGAAAATGTAAACAAGGCCCAAGGGGGAGAAGAGAGGAGAGGGAAATATGAGAAAGGAGAGAGAGAGAGAGAGAATGAGAGAAAGAGAGAGGAGAGGAGAGGAAAAGGAAGGAGAAAGAGAGGAGAGGATATAGAGAAAGGAAATGAGAGAGAGAATAGAGAAAAGGAAATAGAGAGAGGAGAGGGAATAGAGAGAAATATAGAGAAGAGAGAAGAGAGAGGAATAAGAATAAGGAGAGAGGAGAGGAGAGGGAATATAGAGAAAGGAGAGAAGAGAGGAGAGAAGTATAGAAGGAAGAGGAGAGGAATATAGAGAAAGGAGAGGAGAGAGGAGAGGGAATAGAGAGCAAGGAAATTAGAACTGAGGGACAAATAGATAAAGAGTGGGAAGAAAAAGACCGAAGGAGAAAGAGAAAGGCCGAGAAGGACAAAGACAACGTTTACAGGACTGGATCAGCACGCCGGGAAATTCCCAGGCCGAAGACACGAACCGACAAACGCACACGCACCCCCCCTTCCCCTCCCCCTCCCCTCCCAATACACAAAGACCCTCCTTACATACAGTACATACAAACACCCCGTCGGGACACATACACTGCCCTACAAGCCCTCCCATACACACAAACACGCGTATATGAGTATTCATTTTACACTCCTAAAAATGTCCTTTTCATACACTTCCTCTGAGACAAAATTACTCCTCCGCCATGCATCCCTCAGCATGATGATGATGATAGTAGTAAAAAAATACTAAAAATAATGATGATAATGATAACCATAATGATAATCATAATCATAATGAGATTGATAATGGTAATGTTGATAGTAATGATATCATTAAAGATAATGAAGATCATGATAGCAATAACAATCATATTGCTGGTAATGATAAAAATAGTAGCAGCAATAGTATAATAATCATAATGATGATAATAATAATGATAGCAAAATTGATAATGATAACAATAATAATGATATTACTAATCATAGCGTTAATGATAATTACAATAACAATGATAATGCTGATAATGATAATAATGATAACAAAATAATGGTGATGGCAACAGTAACAATGATAATAATAATAATGAAGAGGATGGTGATAATAATGACACTACTAATACTACTGATAATAATGATAATGATAATAATAAGAGTTATAAGGATAAAAATTATAATGATAATGATAATAATAAGAGTTCTAAGAATAAAAATTATAATGAGAATGATGATAATGATGAATAAACTTGTCTTTCGTCGTTTCTTTCCACCACTTCGAAAACATTTCCTACCACAGTTTTCGCTGCGACCAAAGCTTCTTGAAGTGGAGTCTCACCATAGCTCATACTCGAGGGGTTATTCATGTAGAGAGAATTATTCATAGTAATCCACATTGCGACATTTTTTAGTGTATGTAATTTGTATGTATGTAATACTGAAAAGACCATAACAGTAAGAATATGAGAATATGAGATATATATGACGGTAAATATAGGAGAAAAGAAAGTGATTTTAGGTATAGACAGAATCAGTAGATGCACATATCTGACTTATGATCAGCAGTCATATATAAACAAATGTATACAAACGCAGCGACAGTAAGGACGTAAGTAATTTAGAAATGATTGAAGGATGAAGATGTACTAAGGGATTATAAGCAATGAGATAATATTTAAAGGCATCAGACTCTGACTACCGTAGTTATCAGGCCACAAATCGTGTCAACTGATTAAAGATTGGAGTTGCAGGCATTCGATCTCAGTTGCACGCATTCTGCCAACAAAGACAGAGGAAGGTGATGAAATTGAATAATAAACAATACAGTTTCTATTTATCTTCTCTGTCTATCCTTTTTCTTTCTCTCATCTCCCTTCTACCCTCTCTCTCTTTTCCTTCCTCTTCCACCCTCCTCTTCCCTTGCACTCCATCTCCTCTCCTCTCCCTGCCCCTCCCTCTCTCACCCTCATTCCCATCTCCCTCTCTCCATTCTCTCCATTATCTTTTATCTCTCTATTCCCTCTTCCATATCCCCTCTGTCTCCCTCCCTCTCCTTCCCTTCCCTTAGATTCCGGTTTTTTTCTCTCTCTCTCTCTCTTCTCTCTCTCTCTCTCTCCTCTCTCTCTCTCTCTCTCTCTCTCTCTCTCTCTCTCTCTCTCTCTCTCTCTCTCTCTCTCTCTCTCTCTCTCTCTCTCTCAATGAATCTACTACCTCTCCTCAATCATCTCTTCCCTCGCCTTCTCTCTTCCCTCCACCACGTCATCCTCTCCTCTCTTCTCTTCCTCTATATCTGCTCTTCCATTTTCTTATCCCCCCTCTGCACTCCCCTTTTTCCCTTCTCTCTTTCTTTGTTCTTCTCTCTCTCCTATGTTCCTCTCCCTTTCACTCCCTCCACCTTCCTTCTATCTCCCTCCTACCTCTTCTCCTTTCACTCCTCTCCTCTCTCTTTCCCTCCCTCACTCTCCCCTCCTTCTTTCCTTTATCCCACATTCATCATCTCCCTTATTCCCTCCCCTCCCCTCCCCCTCCTCCCTCACTCTCCCCTTCCCTCCCCTCCCTCTCCTCCCTCACTCCCCCTCCCCCTCCCCCTCCCCTCTCCCTCCTCCTTCCTCTCCCCACGAGCTCATGGCACATGGCGGTCATGCCCTTTCTCCTCATGCACCTCCTCCTCATGCACCTCCTCATTCACCCGGATGGAAATGCCTTGATAAATCATCTGCAGAATGTCGCTTCCCTCCCGCGGCCTCCATGGGCTGGCACTCACGACGTCTGCTCTGACCTGGCCCTGGCACTGGCGGGGTTGAGTGCCGGCGCTTCTCGTGCTTCCTCGAGGTCAAAAAGATAAGAGAAAGGAACTAAGGAAGGTAGATGGAAATGTTCGTATGTCGAAGGTTGATAAAAGTAAGGAAAAGACAGGTAAACAAAGAAAGGGTATTGGCAGTCTCTCATCAAGTATCTGTTTAAGTAATCACGGCTACATAGATACATACACGTATTTTACATACACACATACACACACACACACATACATACACAACATATACAATATAATATATATATATATATATATATATATATATATATATATATATATATATATATATATATATTATATATATATATATATAACACACACACACACAGATAGATAGATAGATAAAGAGAGAGAGAGAAAGAAGAAATAAACTGAAAAAGAAAGAGATATTGATAGCCAATGAACAGATGAATAGTCTCTACCTGCTCGTCTGTCAATCTTTCTATATGAAAACAGACAATCATTCAGGCAGAAAGACTGACCGACCGAAAGCAACGAATGAAAGACATAGAAAGAATGTTACCAAGAAAAAAAAAAAAAACAAAGACAGAAACAAACAACTCAAAAAAAAGACCGAAAGAATGGAGAGAAAGGTAATAAAAAATGCAAGGCCGATAAAGAGAGAGAGACACCTGCCAACACCTCGTTCGCGTGGGCCAAACATGACCCACTTCCATAACGAGAATCCTCTTGGCATTTAAGAAAAGGTTTTGTGGTATTAAAGAAACCCTTAACTCGGTGTGCTCAGTCCCGGCGGTATATATGCCGAAATCCTAGTCAAAGAGATTGGTTAATAAACGAAGGCAGGTGTGCGGGAATCTACAAAATTGCTCTCATTTGTTTTGGAGTGAGAGAGGGAGAGGGAGGAGAAAGAGAGGAAGAAGGAGGAGAGGAGAGGGAGAGGAAAGAAGAGGAGAGGAGGAGAGGAGAGAGGGAAGGAGGAGTGTGAGAGAAGAGGGAGGAGGAGAGAGGAGAGAGGAGATGGAAGGAGGGAGGAAGAGGAGAGAGTGGAGAGAATGGAGAGGGGAGGAAAGGAGGTAGGGAGAGACAGAGACTGAGAGTGGGAGAGAGAAGGAGACAGACAGATAGATAGAGTAAGGAGAGCGAAGTAGACAAACACACAAAAAGACAGGTAAACAGGCACATACAAAGCTAGATCGAGATAGACGGATTGACAGGGAGTGGACAATAGATAGATAAATAAACACAAAAAAAATAAGGGAAAACACTAGTCAAACAATACACAAAGAGGCATAGAGCCAACCGAAGAGGAAATAGAATTAGAAAAAAAGAGGAATTAGAGAATAGAGAGAGAGAGAGCGAGAGAGGGAGAACTCGAAAATGGAAGGCTGGGTAGAAAAAAAGTCTCGGAGCCGGAATGAATGCAGTAATGTCACCCTCTCCATTAGACTCATGTTGATTTAGCCTTTTTGACTTCGGCCTCGCCTCTCTGCGCCGCCTCTCTCCTCTGTCCGCCTCTCTCCTCTGCCCTCTCTGTTTCTCTGTTTCGTCTGCGCTTCTCGTTCGTTGTGTGGGACGCTGTTGACGACGTGGAGGTGCGTTTTATAAGGTAAATATGTGGAGCAGAATTGGAATTAGAGTTTTTTCTTTTGAGAGAGGGAATGGAGAAACGAGATGAGAGCAACGTATCATATTTTACATTTTCTCTCAGTTTCTTGATATTTCACTCATCTCTCTCTCTCTCTCTCTCTCTCTCTCTCTCTCTCTCTCTCTCTCTCTCTCTC